TCTTAAACCATAAAATTTTCAAGATTCCTTCAAATACTCAAAATCATGTTTGACCATATGCAACTGACTATGCAACACATCATCACCTTTGGTCCAAATCCTGGAAAGTTTAGTGCAAGTACAGGTATGGAGTACTCCCTCCCCTTCTGAGGGTGATCAGTCCTCAAGAGTGGAAGTAACATACCCATAATGCAGAAAACAAACCAGCTCTGATACCAAGCTGTAACACCCTACCCTATACGTATTACCTAATCATATTGTTCATACAATTGCAGCGGAAATAATCTCGGGTGTTACATTAATTATCAAAATTTACCCAAATAAAATTTCGACATGAATTACTCGCGTAATGGGCTAACAGTTCTTGCAACTTATCCTGCAAAATAATTCATCACAAACATATATACTCACAACCATATGCATTGGCTTTTCATAGCCATAGTCACAGTTTCATACTACACAACTTCATACTATACTGATACATGCTATAATCATCACAACTTCCATAATTACACAATATACACATATCATCAACTTTCCACTCCTGTGGATATCTCACACTACATCAGAAGCTAGCATGCACATGAAAAACGTTCTCAAAACATTTTTACAAAAAGGTGTGGATCACTGGCCAAAATCCCAAGTAGTCGTCCAAGCACAAAATAGTTGAAGACCATACCTCATCTTGGCTTCAACTCTATCTCCTCTCCCACCTAACACTCATCTACTGCTGCTGATGATCTGCTTACACATAGCATAAGCAGAGAAGAAGAATAAAAGAGGGTCAGCTCATAGCTGAGTGAGAGAATCATAGCATCGTGAGTTCATAACAGAGCATACCCCTACCATACATCTAGCAAATAAGCCCAAGCAATAGGATCAGACCTCAGCCATCCGACATCCCAATAGGCAAAAGACTCAACCACCTTGACTTATGCATATGCGTCTTATCATGTTTTACTTATAGGCGCCTGGCTACTCCCATGCTAATTACTCTCCCGGGAATACGGACCAAACATCCCATGGATGTGGTCATATCGGACCCACCACTGCCGGTGTAGTCATATCGGACCTGACACCACTATGGGTGTGGTCATATCGGACTCAACACCACTCTGGGTGTGGTCATATCTCATGATGAATCAACGGTCAACACCACATCAGGGGTGTGACATAACATATCATAACGGAGTAATAGCATGGGGAGCCCTAATTACTATGTAGTTGACCATGAGACCAAATCGCTCTTATTTGGTAATCTTATACATGATCCATATCTCATCTTGCTTACTCATAATTCATTACTTGGACATGTTCTTGACCTGGCCACAATTGGCTCAACATAACCAGGAGTCGTATAATTGCACTTCCTCGGGATAAACCCTCGTGCAAGTCATCCTCCTTAAAACATCATATCACCAGGAAATATATATTTTCCCCCTTGTGCATCCAAATACAACAATCATGAAAAATCATATCTAATCACCTTCTCGAACCATCGTAAAGCACATTAACAGTCAATCCCACAATTTGCAACATATACACAATCATCGGCATAAACAAGGTTCATATCGATTAGGGCAAGTCAATAATATCATACAGCAATCCAGGGTTCAACATATAGCACAAAAGTTCATACACCCCTAATCATGCCATTCTAGTTCACCTAGATCAATTCTAAGCATCAATATAATTATCGTGATACGACAAACCCGGTATGCCGTGCTAATCCCTCACCAGTTCTGGTCGTTCAAACACCGGTTCTAGCCTCCCGTACTAAAACGTCAATTTCACGAACGAACCCCGAATTAAAATCCGAGACCGTCCTAATATCCCCTGCAGTATCCCCGTCAATATTAGTTCTAGGCTCCGGGTCAAATTCTCGATAAAAACACATCAAACCTGGGCCGGAGCTAAATTCAGCGATTAGGACCCCGACCTAAATAATTGCCGAAATTCAGGGATTAGAACTAGAGGATTGATTACCTCGCTGCAGTAAGCTCGTATATGAAATTTGGGCTCAATCCGGCTTTCGGATACTCCGAAACCCTAATTTGGCTTATCGGGAATTCAAGAAATTCCTGAACCAAAAACTCGTTTTAAAACTCTAAATCGATAAATCACGATGTATAGATGAATTAGGCATTACTTACGGGATTTTTGGATCACTAGAGCTTAAGATTTGAGTTCCGAAATTTTCCCCGAGCTCCCCTGTTCTGCGTTCGGTTCCTTCTCTCGGTAATGGAAATGGCTCTCGGTAGTGGAAATGGACAATGATGATGGGGAAACAGATGTGCCGTGGAAAAATATATATATGCGGCTCGGCCGCTGATGATTTATTTTATATTAATTATATATATTATATAATTAATACGTATACTTATCCGATCGACCGATAATTCGATTTTCGTCGAAATATTGTTAAAATGCTCGATTTTAAATCGCGAACTTTTTAGCGATCGAAATATGGATTTTGCCGGAACGGGATGTTACAATTCTCCCCTCCTTAAAGGATTTCGTCCCCGAAATCTACCCTTGAGTTGTACTCTAACTCGTCTTACTTACCCTTAACATGGTCTATCATAGATAAACCATTACCTAACTCTTAGGTTAGGAGATCTGAATTACATAACTAAACACATAACACCTCAAGTTCCCAATATAAGGTTTCAAAAACCTACACTGGGCTATCACAACAAAACATATCAGCAAATTCAAAACATAACTTACTAAGCAAGATTTGTAACCTGGAAAATGTTAGCCACCCCAACATCAAGAATCATATCCATATTAAAAACTCTACCACAACAACTCGTCATGTTAGCATAGTCGAAGATCAACTGCATTGCATAGCTAGGCACCATGCTTCTCGATCAGTTAGTAGTGACACATAAAACTACTTCTGTGCGAGCTACAAGGAAATATTGGCCATAACTTGATCCACACACCATTAAAACTTTCTCCAAAATCGTTACTTGGACAACAAGATAAAAACTCCACATATTTTCAAAAATCTCTTAAACCATAAAATTTTCAAGATTCCTTCAAATACTCAAAATCATGTTTGACCATATGCAACTGACTATGCAACACATCATCACCTTTGGTCCAAATCCTGGAAAGTTTAGTGCAAGTACAGGTATGGAGTACTCCCTCCCCTTCTGAGGGTGATCAGTCCTCAAGAGTGGAAGTAACATACCCATAATGCAGAAAACAAACCAGCTCTGATACCAAGCTGTAACACCCTACCCTATACGTATTACCTAATCATATTGTTCATACAATTGCAGCGGAAATAATCTCGGGTGTTACATTAATTATCAAAATTTACCCAAATAAAATTTCGACATGAATTACTCGCGTAATGGGCTAACAGTTCTTGCAACTTATCCTGCAAAATAATTCATCACAAACATATATACTCACAACCATATGCATTGGCTTTTCATAGCCATAGTCACAGTTTCATACTACACAACTTCATACTATACTGATACATGCTATAATCATCACAACTTCCATAATTACACAATATACACATATCATCAACTTTCCACTCCTGTGGATATCTCACACTACATCAGAAGCTAGCATGCACATGAAAAACGTTCTCAAAACATTTTTACAAAAAGGTGTGGATCACTGGCCAAAATCCCAAGTAGTCGTCCAAGCACAAAATAGTTGAAGACCATACCTCATCTTGGCTTCAACTCTATCTCCTCTCCCACCTAACACTCATCTACTGCTGCTGATGATCTGCTTACACATAGCATAAGCAGAGAAGAAGAATAAAAGAGGGTCAGCTCATAGCTGAGTGAGAGAATCATAGCATCGTGAGTTCATAACAGAGCATACCCCTACCATACATCTAGCAAATAAGCCCAAGCAATAGGATCAGACCTCAGCCATCCGACATCCCAATAGGCAAAAGACTCAACCACCTTGACTTATGCATATGCGTCTTATCATGTTTTACTTATAGGCGCCTGGCTACTCCCATGCTAATTACTCTCCCGGGAATACGGACCAAACATCCCATGGATGTGGTCATATCGGACCCACCACTGCCGGTGTAGTCATATCGGACCTGACACCACTATGGGTGTGGTCATATCGGACTCAACACCACTCTGGGTGTGGTCATATCTCATGATGAATCAACGGTCAACACCACATCAGGGGTGTGACATAACATATCATAACGGAGTAATAGCATGGGGAGCCCTAATTACTATGTAGTTGACCATGAGACCAAATCGCTCTTATTTGGTAATCTTATACATGATCCATATCTCATCTTGCTTACTCATAATTCATTACTTGGACATGTTCTTGACCTGGCCACAATTGGCTCAACATAACCAGGAGTCGTATAATTGCACTTCCTCGGGATAAACCCTCGTGCAAGTCATCCTCCTTAAAACATCATATCACCAGGAAATATATATTTTCCCCCTTGTGCATCCAAATACAACAATCATGAAAAATCATATCTAATCACCTTCTCGAACCATCGTAAAGCACATTAACAGTCAATCCCACAATTTGCAACATATACACAATCATCGGCATAAACAAGGTTCATATCGATTAGGGCAAGTCAATAATATCATACAGCAATCCAGGGTTCAACATATAGCACAAAAGTTCATACACCCCTAATCATGCCATTCTAGTTCACCTAGATCAATTCTAAGCATCAATATAATTATCGTGATACGACAAACCCGGTATGCCGTGCTAATCCCTCACCAGTTCTGGTCGTTCAAACACCGGTTCTAGCCTCCCGTACTAAAACGTCAATTTCACGAACGAACCCCGAATTAAAATCCGAGACCGTCCTAATATCCCCTGCAGTATCCCCGTCAATATTAGTTCTAGGCTCCGGGTCAAATTCTCGATAAAAACACATCAAACCTGGGCCGGAGCTAAATTCAGCGATTAGGACCCCGACCTAAATAATTGCCGAAATTCAGGGATTAGAACTAGAGGATTGATTACCTCGCTGCAGTAAGCTCGTATATGAAATTTGGGCTCAATCCGGCTTTCGGATACTCCGAAACCCTAATTTGGCTTATCGGGAATTCAAGAAATTCCTGAACCAAAAACTCGTTTTAAAACTCTAAATCGATAAATCACGATGTATAGATGAATTAGGCATTACTTACGGGATTTTTGGATCACTAGAGCTTAAGATTTGAGTTCCGAAATTTTCCCCGAGCTCCCCTGTTCTGCGTTCGGTTCCTTCTCTCGGTAATGGAAATGGCTCTCGGTAGTGGAAATGGACAATGATGATGGGGAAACAGATGTGCCGTGGAAAAATATATATATGCGGCTCGGCCGCTGATGATTTATTTTATATTAATTATATATATTATATAATTAATACGTATACTTATCCGATCGACCGATAATTCGATTTTCGTCGAAATATTGTTAAAATGCTCGATTTTAAATCGCGAACTTTTTAGCGATCGAAATATGGATTTTGCCGGAACGGGATGTTACAATTCTCCCCTCCTTAAAGGATTTCGTCCCCGAAATCTACCCTTGAGTTGTACTCTAACTCGTCTTACTTACCCTTAACATGGTCTATCATAGATAAACCATTACCTAACTCTTAGGTTAGGAGATCTGAATTACATAACTAAACACATAACACCTCAAGTTCCCAATATAAGGTTTCAAAAACCTACACTGGGCTATCACAACAAAACATATCAGCAAATTCAAAACATAACTTACTAAGCAAGATTTGTAACCTGGAAAATGTTAGCCACCCCAACATCAAGAATCATATCCATATTAAAAACTCTACCACAACAACTCGTCATGTTAGCATAGTCGAAGATCAACTGCATTGCATAGCTAGGCACCATGCTTCTCGATCAGTTAGTAGTGACACATAAAACTACTTCTGTGCGAGCTACAAGGAAATATTGGCCATAACTTGATCCACACACCATTAAAACTTTCTCCAAAATCGTTACTTGGACAACAAGATAAAAACTCCACATATTTTCAAAAATCTCTTAAACCATAAAATTTTCAAGATTCCTTCAAATACTCAAAATCATGTTTGACCATATGCAACTGACTATGCAACACATCATCACCTTTGGTCCAAATCCTGGAAAGTTTAGTGCAAGTACAGGTATGGAGTACTCCCTCCCCTTCTGAGGGTGATCAGTCCTCAAGAGTGGAAGTAACATACCCATAATGCAGAAAACAAACCAGCTCTGATACCAAGCTGTAACACCCTACCCTATACGTATTACCTAATCATATTGTTCATACAATTGCAGCGGAAATAATCTCGGGTGTTACATTAATTATCAAAATTTACCCAAATAAAATTTCGACATGAATTACTCGCGTAATGGGCTAACAGTTCTTGCAACTTATCCTGCAAAATAATTCATCACAAACATATATACTCACAACCATATGCATTGGCTTTTCATAGCCATAGTCACAGTTTCATACTACACAACTTCATACTATACTGATACATGCTATAATCATCACAACTTCCATAATTACACAATATACACATATCATCAACTTTCCACTCCTGTGGATATCTCACACTACATCAGAAGCTAGCATGCACATGAAAAACGTTCTCAAAACATTTTTACAAAAAGGTGTGGATCACTGGCCAAAATCCCAAGTAGTCGTCCAAGCACAAAATAGTTGAAGACCATACCTCATCTTGGCTTCAACTCTATCTCCTCTCCCACCTAACACTCATCTACTGCTGCTGATGATCTGCTTACACATAGCATAAGCAGAGAAGAAGAATAAAAGAGGGTCAGCTCATAGCTGAGTGAGAGAATCATAGCATCGTGAGTTCATAACAGAGCATACCCCTACCATACATCTAGCAAATAAGCCCAAGCAATAGGATCAGACCTCAGCCATCCGACATCCCAATAGGCAAAAGACTCAACCACCTTGACTTATGCATATGCGTCTTATCATGTTTTACTTATAGGCGCCTGGCTACTCCCATGCTAATTACTCTCCCGGGAATACGGACCAAACATCCCATGGATGTGGTCATATCGGACCCACCACTGCCGGTGTAGTCATATCGGACCTGACACCACTATGGGTGTGGTCATATCGGACTCAACACCACTCTGGGTGTGGTCATATCTCATGATGAATCAACGGTCAACACCACATCAGGGGTGTGACATAACATATCATAACGGAGTAATAGCATGGGGAGCCCTAATTACTATGTAGTTGACCATGAGACCAAATCGCTCTTATTTGGTAATCTTATACATGATCCATATCTCATCTTGCTTACTCATAATTCATTACTTGGACATGTTCTTGACCTGGCCACAATTGGCTCAACATAACCAGGAGTCGTATAATTGCACTTCCTCGGGATAAACCCTCGTGCAAGTCATCCTCCTTAAAACATCATATCACCAGGAAATATATATTTTCCCCCTTGTGCATCCAAATACAACAATCATGAAAAATCATATCTAATCACCTTCTCGAACCATCGTAAAGCACATTAACAGTCAATCCCACAATTTGCAACATATACACAATCATCGGCATAAACAAGGTTCATATCGATTAGGGCAAGTCAATAATATCATACAGCAATCCAGGGTTCAACATATAGCACAAAAGTTCATACACCCCTAATCATGCCATTCTAGTTCACCTAGATCAATTCTAAGCATCAATATAATTATCGTGATACGACAAACCCGGTATGCCGTGCTAATCCCTCACCAGTTCTGGTCGTTCAAACACCGGTTCTAGCCTCCCGTACTAAAACGTCAATTTCACGAACGAACCCCGAATTAAAATCCGAGACCGTCCTAATATCCCCTGCAGTATCCCCGTCAATATTAGTTCTAGGCTCCGGGTCAAATTCTCGATAAAAACACATCAAACCTGGGCCGGAGCTAAATTCAGCGATTAGGACCCCGACCTAAATAATTGCCGAAATTCAGGGATTAGAACTAGAGGATTGATTACCTCGCTGCAGTAAGCTCGTATATGAAATTTGGGCTCAATCCGGCTTCCGGATACTCCGAAACCCTAATTTGGCTTATCGGGAATTCAAGAAATTCCTGAACCAAAAACTCGTTTTAAAACTCTAAATCGATAAATCACGATGTATAGATGAATTAGGCATTACTTACGGGATTTTTGGATCACTAGAGCTTAAGATTTGAGTTCCGAAATTTTCCCCGAGCTCCCCTGTTCTGCGTTCGGTTCCTTCTCTCGGTAATGGAAATGGCTCTCGGTAGTGGAAATGGACAATGATGATGGGGAAACAGATGTGCCGTGGAAAAATATATATATGCGGCTCGGCCGCTGATGATTTATTTTATATTAATTATATATATTATATAATTAATACGTATACTTATCCGATCGACCGATAATTCGATTTTCGTCGAAATATTGTTAAAATGCTCGATTTTAAATCGCGAACTTTTTAGCGATCGAAATATGGGTTTTGCCGGAACGGGATGTTACATAGTCGATTACCGGTATTCTAACCAGTATACCGGATACCAGATTAATGATCATGGATAGGAGAATGGATGTGTAAGAGGCGTCGCCGAGAGTGTAGGTGAGGTGAGAAATTGATGGGGCAGGGGTTTTGGAGTAGTGATCATCAGTCGAAAACCCATGTCACTGGAGCATTGTACATCCCCATTAGGCCCATGCATCCAAACCCCAACTTCGACACCTAGGAATAGGGCTGGGAATTCGGTCACGGTTTTCCGGTCAAACTGGAAACCGCCCAGTTTAAACCGTCCCGATTGTAACCGGAAATCGGATTCCCACTAACCCAATCCAGTTTGCGGTCTGAGGTTAAGGCTGAATAACCGTCCCGGTCCCGGTCAAAATTTACCCGGTTTTAACTGGAAACCGGAAAACAGAAATAGACCCACCACACACCCAAACCCCAACCCCAAGCCCGACCCACCCAGCCCCAGCCCAAAGCCCAACCCTATCCCAGCCCCAACCCACGAATTGTGAGTTTGTAACCCCACCCCACAACCCTAATTTCAGTTGCCGCCACTTTCCTCTCCATCACCCATCTCGATCTCTCACTTATCTCTCTGCCTCTCGATCTCTCACCCATCTCTCCGCTCTCTCTCACCGGCGATACGACAACGACGACCTCGATGCTCCAGTCGTCGGCTCTCACATCACAAGAAGAAGAAGAAGAAGAAGATGGAGAGGAAAGTGATAGGAGAAGAACTCGATCAAGCCACAACCGTCGATGAATCTTGATTCTCATCTCCAGATCTTCTCCGTCGCGTTCTGCATGCACCAAATTACGCCGCCGATCTATATCCTTTCAATCTCCCTCACACCCCGACGATCTTTCTTCTTCCTTCTACACTGCTTCGAGTAGCACAATTGAGCGGTATAGGATGCACTTGAATTAGGGGTTCTATCTAGATTAGAGCTCTCCGCGGTAGAAGTATCAAGTCAATCAATCTAGTGTAGTACTCAACATCGGTCCAATTGAGGAGGTAGGGAGATTCATGCCTAAGTGAGCTCCCAACCTTGTAATTAGTTAGAGTAGTGGTTAGGTTAGTTTCTTAATCACTATTCTTGTTTTGCTAGATAACATACCTAAGTTGAAGTAACGGTGCATCTAGAGACCAGTGATTCGATACTTTTATTACTTTGCTTACCCTGTACTATACCCGGTCATCGGTTATACTACCTTCAATTGAGAAGTTGTAGTTAGCCCGAGCCAGCTCTCAATTGGGCATTTGATCAATGATGAATCATGGAAGGTATGAGGGCCAAGGTAGATCATTTGAAGATTATATCATACGGTGAATGAAAGGCAACCACGTGAAACTCAATAGTTTGGGTGGATGTAAGGTCCACCCCCACCTATTGTTACATTTGTAGTAAGAATTTCCTAAACTTCAACCTCGTTGCTAGAGAATCCAACCATGGACGTTTTGAATTCTCTCATTGAGTCCTTTAAGTATCCCATAATCACAAATGCACGGTAAAACATTATGTCAGCGAAGCTCTTAGTTTGATTTTGTTATGAGACAATCCAAGTACCATATCGGTAATACAAGGGAAGAAACCCTTGTATATAAGTGTTCACCTAGACCAATTAGTATGAGGCCATTTGGGAAGGAACCCAAAAGTAAAATCGTGTGGGCTTGACCCAAAGCGGACAATATCGTACTAATTGAGCTGCCCAGTTTTGACAAGTGGTATCACAGCCTGGGGCGGTGGACGTCAGTTTGGAGGACCCTCATTCGGTGACCTTGGGATTTGAGATATGCGTCTGGTTGGTGGATCCGGGATAGATCCAAGTCTGTTTGGCAAATCAAAGAGAGTTCTGCGTTAGGAAAATCCTTGTACCGAGAAGCCCATTGATACAAGGTGTCTGGCGGATCAAGATAATCGCTAAGGAGAGGACACGAAATTCGTGGTCCTTGACTTGGACGGAGGATTGTTATGGGACAATCCAAGCAGTGGCGGAGCTATTCACTGAGGACTTGGACTGGGAAAAAAATTAACGGGTATAGGGGAGTTTTCGTCCCTAGGTTGCCACCTTCTTCATTTACAGCAAACAATCAACCCCTGATTTGAATTGAATCAAATGCCATCCACCAACACTACCGCCCTGCCAATCCAATTGCTCCCTGCTATATAACCTTCTAATATAAAAACCAGCGACCCATCAAATTTATTATAAGAGGGAAGTCAGCTAGCTAAGATTTGTCATAAAGAAACCGAACCCACCTTTGTTTACCCCTTGCTCTCATTCCAACTATCTAAACTCTGAAGTCCTAATTTTTTTTTTTTTGGGTTATGGCTTCACACTTGACACTCATTCTTCGGGCAAGTGAGGAGGAATCATTTTCATTCATGAAATACACTCATTCTTTAGGCAAGTGAGGGTGGATAATTTTCATCCATGAAATATATAAATAATGATCGTCGACACCGAATAAACAATGAGTAGTTCGAACAAATAATGTGTTCTGGAATGCTTTCAAAACATGAAATCTCATCGCGGTTCGTTGTAAGTCGGGTACATCAAACTATTATGTAATTATATAAAATTTGAGCATTATGTTATTGACTTCTTATTACGTTTAAAGTTGACTTTACTATTATATAGTTCATTTTTTATACGGAAAAGACACTTCCTTGGCCAATTTTCTGTCTCCGCCACTGAATCCAAGTACCACATTGGTAATGCAAGGGAAGAAACCCTTGTATATAAGTCTCCACCTAGCCCAATTAGTACGAGTCCTTTCGGGAAGGAACCCAAAAGTAAAACCGTATGGATTTGGCTCATAGCGGACAATATCGTACTAATTGAACTGCCCAGTTTCGAAAGTTGTTACTCTTGGCTTTGAATCCTTTGTTTTTCATTTCCTCTCATTCGTAGACAGACTCCTTTTTTTAATAAGTGGGCTTTCTCGGGTCGACATCCATCTTTGTACTTCTTCGCGAGCTCATGCAGGGTGTCATTCGCAAGTTGCCTCTCAATCTCATATTTGAGTAGCCTCAACTAATCAATCGGATACCCCATCTGATGGTTCGAGTCGTAGTATTGGTCGCCCTTAAGTCCCTTGATCTTGCCATTCAACGGTTATGGCCAACTGCATGAGCACAAATACGTGCTTGGGCAACTGATCAGTAAAGGACGCGCGAGTACTTGCTAAAGAAGGGATATTCTCCTTGACTTGTTTTCAGATGATCAACCTTGGTGGAGTTTCTTCTTTTTCCTCCTTCAGTTGGGAGTTGTTAACTCTTTGCTAATTCTGAAATTTGATGGGCACGTAACTTCGCGAGGAACTACACCAAAACCTTGGATCTCATCTCTGGCGCTCTTCACTGATAAATAAGGTTGAGCAACATTCAAAAACCTTGTTTTCGTAAGACAAAAATAACATACCAATTCCAAATTTCTTATTTTATCATGACATTGCTATGTTATTAGTAATTTTGACATTGTACACACATTTTTAACCATCACTGGATGATTCTAAATTATTTTTTAATTAGTACACGATATGTACAAAACCTACAAAATGAATGCCGAAGTTTTATAAAGAAATAAACTAGAAATAGAAAACTTAAAACTTAAATGATAAAAGTATATGAATCAATATGACATGTTATACAAACCAAATAGAACTAGAAATACAAACCAAACTATAAAATCATTCAAACCAATGTTAGAAAGTATACAAATCATATAATAAGAGTATATGAACTAATATTACAAGATATAGTACATGCAAAACTAGGTATATAAACCAATTTTATAACTTACACAAACCAGACTATGTTTCCATCACATTGTTATTATAAACATAGTAATTTATATTACAAACCATAAGCTTTTGTCACTATGACTACTTACCACACAAATGGATAATACTTATATTAAAAAGTACTTTTTATCCAAACCTTTTTCAGATTTTTTATATTATCCAAACATATCGAAATACTAAGAATTAGCCAAATGTTAACATTCGGTTAGCAATATTGTTAGTAATATTGACTTGGCAATAAGATACTGACTTGGAAGAGACACATGAAGGTTACCATTCCAAAATTATAGTATTTTAACTAAGAAAATAGTTACAAAATTATTAACGATAAAGTCAAAATGGCTAATATTTTGATGCGTTACTAACAATTTGGCCAATTAATAGCATTTTAATAGGTTTGGATAATATAAAAGAATCTGAAATAGGTTTGGAAAAACCAGACAAGTTTAGATCACATACTCCTCAGCATACAAATGGATAAATAAATGAGAAATTTTACAATGCTTTATAGTATCAGTGTTTTGATTTACCAAGAAAACCTTTATGGTACATATTGAAATTGTATTTTTAAACGTTCTAGCGCAAATTTTAGTTTTTACTTAAACTTGTTTTTACAAATTATTTTGCGGTCCAAATTTGACTTGTACCTTTAACGTCATGATACGAATTCAGTTTGTTCCCAACCGTGTAAGACCCTATTATTGCACGCAAATTAACAAATGAAAGTGAAGCACGAGAAGTTGGGCATCGAGAGCAAGAATAACAGAGCACAATGGGCAACTCCCTTCTTACTCACGGCACGACTCTATTGCAGTTTCGCAATGGCGACGCTAATTTTCTTCGATTTGGGCAAGTCTCACGATAATCCGGGTCGGTCCGTAACGGCAGCTATGCGGAAAGAAAGACTTGTATATCAGCAGCAACGTGCGTCAAAGAAGCAGACCAAGTCAGACAAGGAACTACGTCGTTAGAAGTAACGTAGAGGAATCTGATAGCTCCATTTGTTCTTGGGTTTTTGTTTGTTTGTTTCTTCCTTTATTTTTTTCTCTTCTTCTTCTTGCCCTTTTTATCCGACTATGACTTGGCCTAAAACTGGGGACCGAAAGGGTGCAACCACTGATTGCCTTTAATGGGAAAAGGGAGCTGGGGGAATAGTGTACTCAAGAAACCTCTCTCTGTTTCTCTGGTTCTGCAGGAGGATTAGCTGTTACTGTACTTCCTTTCTTTTCATTTACTGCTTTTAGATTTGGCTTCCACAACAGGTAACGTGTGCTCCCTCTCCGCCTCATCCCACCCCCTCCGCCCTTCCCCACCATTCACTTCACATTCCTTCCAATGTTCAACACAACACAGGCGGCAAGACGATGCCATTAGGGCTGGGAAGCGGTGTGGTCTTATCTAGACTAGATCATATATACGGTCTGTGGTCTAGATCGAGAGGCTAGAGTATAGATCAGAAACCAGACGACGTACTATACGGTCCAGACCAGACCACGTTTGTGCAATTTGGTTTGGTACAATCTGGTCCATATAAAACTATAATTAACGAAAAATGAACAATTTTTCAGTCTATCACACAAAAAATTGAATCAATAACCGGAAAAAAATTGTTTTTCTTTTTGCCTTAAAACATAATTTCCAGCATGCATGAGGATTTTTGACACCCTATATCTCGGTAAACAACAAAAGTACAAAGTCACATCATCCTAGCTTGCACCCTAACATCATAAACATTAACATTATGTCATACGAAGACATGATCAACTCTACTTTCTGGCGAAATGTGGTTGTGAATGAAAGAGAGAGCGAGTTTCTCAAATTAGGGTTGAGACTTGGGTCTCGTTGAGGGGAATCGGGAGATTGGTCGAGTCGACTGCTAACAAGTATTGGGAAGTCGATTGGATCCACAAATTGGTCCGACAAACCGCTATATAGACCAGACCAAGAGATCAAAACATCATATAATGCAGACCATGGACCAGACCGGACCATTTTTAATTATCTACGATTCGGAAACTGTACTGTTCATGATTTTTCAAACGGTCTGGTCTATTTTCACAACCCTAGCTGCCATTGCATCCGTCTACACGTACATGCATACTGCAATAGCAAGTATAATAATGCATTTCTTGACAATGTCAAACAGTCTGAACAGCAATCACTATACTAATGGAGCAAATCAAACAAACGAACTCTCTAGAAAGAAACAACTCTGGAATCTGGCTTTACAGTGCAAGCAAACAGAGAGAATGAGATGAGATGAAAACTTCACAAAAAGGAGAATCTCCATTGTGTTATAACTTTCTCAAGCATCTATTCACGACTCCTCGGCAACTAATTTTGAGTGGGTGAAAAGCAGATGGCTCCTTTATCCCTTTGCCATCTAATAATATACCATCCTCTCATATTCTATAGGCGCTGGCATTCAGCAAATGTCCTGCTACTGCAACTGCACTGACACAAGTTTCCCTATTGTTTGACAGCTTAAGAAAGGCACTAACTTTGATTCACACAATCTCCTTCCTCAAGTAACAAGAGATCTAATGCATAAGCATAGCATGGTTTGCAAAATCAGACTATGTACTCGTTTCAGGCCTTGCACAGACTTTAGCAAATTTCCGACTATCATCTAGAATGCACATATAGTCTCAGCACTGGGTGACAGAAAAACTCTACCTTCAGACGCTTGAGACCACACTGTGAATTTTATATTTGCACACAAGGGATTTCTTTCCTAGCAGAACTACCTTTCACTAATCTCTAATCAACTGAAGTTGGTAGCAAACTAAAACGATTGGCCCCTTAACCTCCAGAATCAATTCACTAAGATGATCTGTGATGAAACAGTGTAGAGTCATTACTGTTTCTACATTCCAGGATATTATTACAAACATCCAGCTTAAGTTCATCATACGATGAGGATTTTCACAACATGAAGCCCATCCAATTGTGCAATGAAAAATATAGAAGATAAACAAGCAATCATCTAGCATAACAATTTATCTGAACTTGTTTCTTCCATTGAACAATTGCAAAGAAAATTAAGGCAGCAGTAAACCATATGACTAGTTCTGTGTTCTTTGTCAAATGAGGAGACACAAAATCCATCACCAAAGACTGATGACAACCTACCAAATCTGTCGGTCCAAATTATTCCCTATTCCGTGCCCTACACGAGCAAATCTTGGAAAAGAATTTCAATATGGGGAAGATATGAATCAAGTCAAAGAAAATGAAACAATGTAAGTTAAGAACCCGAAGACTTCTTTGAAGCAAAACGTTCTATTGAATCTCAGTAAAATCTGAAGGTTCTTCCCAATTAGCAAAGAACAAAAAAGGATCTGGAAAAGAAGAAAGAAAATGAGGTAGAAAATTACCCATTAGCAAGAATCCTGTGTTGAAGGGGGGGAAACAATCAATCTTGGTACATCCTATTAGCAGGAGGCACCAATACAGATCACAAGCTTATGCCAACTCAGCATCCCATAACCGCACAATTATAGACAAAATTAACGGATTGCTTCCTCGCAAGCAAGTCCCAATGCGGAGGGCCTTCACTTGGTACCCATGAATTCAGCTCTATAAAACCTTCACCAGATGTCCTCGGCCCACCAATAACTATGAGCTGATCTCCGCATGCCCTAAATGCAAGACCCCAACCGTTCATTGAGCATGCACGTTCAGGTAGCCTTCCCACAGTAAGCCAGGATTTCCCAACCTTGTCATATTTCTTCAACTCCATATCACTATGATCAGCAGCGTACAGCTGATTATTAACTACAGCAAGCAAAGGTGGAGCCCCAGCAGCAGCAGGCATTCCATCTCTAGCAGCGGGATTCCTCCCAGGGGACATATTAGGAATCTCGGTCCACTTCTTTGCTTCGAGGTCATATTCCTCTCCACATGTAAGAACATCATTGCTTCCTACAATGCCTCCATTGCTTCCTGCAATGCCTCCAACAACATAAAACTTGCCATCCATAAATACTGCTGAGCATAACTTTCTTGGCTTGTTCATGCTTGGCAGTGTCAACCAAGTTTGAGTCTCTGAATTGTACATTTCTGCAGAACTCAGGATGGTCCCCTGAGAATCACAACCTCCAGCCAAAATTGCAATCTCTCCAAGGCTAGCTGATCCAAACAAGCATCGAGGGGAATTCATTGTCATTCCAGAAGACCAAGAATTCGTCAAAATACTGTATCTATATATAACATGGGACATCACCTCCTTCCCAAATACAAGAAGTTCAGTACCCACAGCCAATGACTCTTTGTCGGAACACATGAAGCATTCATTGGAGGGCATTCTAGGTAGATGCATCCACCTGCGTCGAATGGGATCAAACGCCTCCCATTCAAGCAAGTGGCAAGAAAAATAAACCCAGTGTTCAATCACACCACGTTGCCTTCTCAATTTATACATCTCCCCACTCCTGATTAAGGACCGGAAACCCCTGTTAAGAGATGCTAGAGATCCGTAATCCGACCTAGAGATGCGGATGATGCAGTTTATAGACATGTCCCTGCCAATAGCATCAATAAGGGGATCAGAATCAGAGGATTGACCAGCCTGATCGTCTTCATCAGACTGCTGCTCAAGGCCGACATTTCTCTGAGAATCTGAAACCCTACGCAACTTGCTCAGCCGAAAATCATCTTCAGAATCCTCAAGGGAGTGCTTGCTGCCACCAGCCCGGTAGTTCATAAAAGACCACTGAGACTCGGATTGGCAGGAACTACCAAACACTCTTGTAACCAGACAGGAGTCGCAGGACCGGCCCTCCAACATGTCTCTGCAATGAAACCATTTAAAGAAAAAAGAATCAAAATCCCAAATCAACCATAACCCAAATCCTCAAATCGTGTTTCAAAATCAGGAACTGGAAATTTTTTACAAGAAAATCAAGCAGACAGCAGAAAAGTCCCATAAATAGCTGAACTAGGGAACTGCAGAATCAGACTTTATCGACAGAGAGGCGAGAGCTGTGCGCATTAGATATTTCCAGCGTTCCTATGAAAGATTCCATGGAGTATCCAAAAGAAAAGACTGGAAGTTCCAGTAGTCTGACTATATGAACTCAAGAAACATCGAAAGTAAATCTAGCAATAACCTTCCTATATAACACAGGGGCAACAAAAAAATTGAATTCAATTGGCTAAAATCCGCTTCCCACTTGCTAACATCGGCTGCCGATCTGAATCCAAATCAATAAACAGGATCCAGCAGAAGCGGGTGAACTTCCCCACCAATTGAATGAAAAGAAAAGCGGGCAAAAGATGAACTGTAATCAACGATTAGAAGAAGAGCTACATACGAGTCATCCAGATCTCCCCAAAAAAAGACAAAAAGAGAAACAAATTGTACCCTTGGAAGCTACAACAAGGGGATGAAACAAAGATCAAAATTTATCCCAAAAAAAAAAATTGAGCATTCCCAAAAGAACCCACCACGAATCGAATTCTGATCTGTTCCATTAGACTAACCGGAGCGGTAATGACACAGAGAAACAAAAGCCCAGAAACAGACGATTGAATAAGAGAGCATAACGGAGCGAGGAGCCACAAGAAAAAAGAAAAAAAAAACAATACAAAGAAGGAACGAATGGACTTACTGACTGGAACAAGATAAGAATCGCAGTTTGCAATGAAGGAAGAGACTTGATTGAAAGTTTCTGTATTCCCCGGTAAAGAGAAGAAGAAAAAAAATTTGGGCTTTTGCTATCTCTCTTTCAGCTTCTGTTCTTCGCGTATTGGGGCGGGGCTACAAAAATTTTCCCTCACTTTCTCTTACTTGCTTGGACTTGGTACGGTATTGAGTTGGAGGAAGAAGGTTTTTTTGGGGGTTTGCTCTCTGCAAATCAGATGAAAGCTTTGGTCATCGGCTTTGTTTGTGACAGAGCGGAAGAGAGAGAAAAGAAAGAGAGAAATTAGCGAGCGAGAGATAAGAGAGAGAAAGCGAGCTCGTTCTCCGGGTCCCTTTTTTCCTTTCCCCTCTCTTTCCTTCTGTCTCTCCGCAATTATTTATTAAAATTAATTAACCTAATTAATTTCAAGGAATAAAATATTCGGCAACTGTAAATAAATAAATAAAAATTCTGCCTCTTTTTTCCCGAATTTTCTTCCTTTTTTGGTTTTGGGTCGTCCGAGGGACGGTGGTGCGGTTGTGGCGAGATGGTGGGTGTGGGGACCACGGAACTAATCTTTTCGGAAAGAATTAAATATTTTTGAGAAAATTAAAAAGCTGGGTTGAAGAAAGAATATTAAAAAGAAAAAAATTTTAATTTGGAAAACGGAATTTGGGAGGAACCGGCAAAACGGTAGGCGGCTGGCAAGAGACACGTGGTGGCCGCGGAAAAAGAAGAGAAGCGTATGGAAGTGAGTGCTTCTTCTGCCGGCTGTTATTCAAAGGTCTGACGGCGAGGGGAGAGAGAGAGAGAGAGAGAGAGAGAGAGGGGGGAAAGGAAAGATAAAAATGGAATTACTCAGGGGAGGTTGTAATTTTTGGTTAAAAGAGGTAAAAAGAAAGAGAAAGAATAACGGGGAAAATAGAGTAGAGAGTGTTTCTTCTTTTTTTTTTTTTTTACTGACGTTTTTTTCACAGCAGGTGCAGTTTAACAGAATTTTGAACTTCAACTGCTACACGTACGAAATTGCGAGCGGAGAATCAGAGTTCAGAGAGGGGAGAGGGGTCGCTGGACAGAAGGGGAAGATATAACATTCGTTGGAATTCATCATTTGGTATATATGAAAAAAAAATATGAGCGCAAATTATTAGGGGTGTGTTGGACTGTTGGGTATTTGGGTTGGTTCGTAACCGATAATGTTAGACTAAACCGATTTTTGGATCAGGTCAGATCATATCGAATTGAATATAGTATGATTTAGTTTTTTGTATTGTAAATTTTACAAATACTAAGGAAAAATGGACATAATTGACATTTAGATCGGATCAAATCGAACCGAATGCGTCGTTGATCCGGTCTTTGACCCTAAGATGTCTTTCACCTTTGGACCGATGTGCTCATGATTTGGTCCAGTCTGGTTACATATTATGCACCCAACTCTAAAATTAGGTTTAAGACATCGAATTAAATATTTTAATTGGTAACATTAGTCGGATATGAGTCTATAACATAGAATCACAACTAATCAATGCATCACCTTAAGCCATATATCTTAAAATTAGGTTGTGCAAATTCATATTTTTCTTGTTCATTATAATGCAAGTGACGTTTGATATTGTTTTCGCATGAACCGTTCGCCTGCTTAGAATGATGATTATGAAGCGACGTGAGTGCATCGACGACAAACCATGTATTGATGTGATAATTTAAATTAAAATAATATGTTATTCGAAAATGTGATAATTGTGAATTATTTATTAATTATTTCAAATAATTATCTTTTGTGTTATTTGAAATAATTCATTTGAGCCGAAGGTAACACAACCGAGTTGGTTGGGAGTGTGGTCTTTTGTGCTTGAGGTGTGTGAGGTCCCAGGTTCGAACCCCGTTACATCACTTGGTGTTCCTGGAGGCACCGCGAGTGCTGGAGACTTTGTATTCCCCTAGTATCGGGTGATATGCCTTGAAATTGTTGTTGATGCAGGTATTCCTCAGGTTTCGTGGAACCTGCTGTCATGAAGTGACATGTGAAGTTGAGGTTTCTGGGTAATAAAAAAATCATTTGAGAACGAATCTTAACCCTTTGTCTTTTTCTTCCTCTTGACTCTCCCCTGGAAGCAAGAGATGAAGACATAAGCCTTCCTTATGATCGATCCACCGGTAGACTGCTCAGGATTTCAAACTCAACGGTGGCAACTAAACATGAGGGTTGTGCTCGTTGCAGGAGTTAACCTACCACCTTTTTATGAGCAAATTTGATCTTCGATATGGAAATAGTATCTTTATTTGAACATCTTTTGTTAGCCAGTTTTTTGGGAATTCTCTTTCGGATAATGGAACTCCATTATAAGTGCATTTAACATACATTTCTTTCTTTCAATCCTTAACCTTCCAAGAAGACGGAGGAAATTTTGTTTTATCATAGGTTGTTAAGAAAATAATTGACAGATGGGATAGCTTAACAACATCCAATCCTTATTTTTTAGAATGAAGTAAGCGTAGTTTTGAAAGTATCAGCACCGATTCCTCCCCTACCACCACCAGTCATCGGAGCCCATTGGACTACCCCAGAATCTAGTCCCCGAGAGGGCTCAAGAATTTCAATTTGGGTGGGGTCGGGCTGGAAATCATGGTCGTCCTGGAGAAATCCATCACTACACTGTCGATGTTGAGCATAAGGTTGTGGTGAAGCATTAGATCTGTTGTACCCCAAAATCAGACTCGATTCCGGTCGGTCCAAGGTGTTGAAAAAAGAGAGTCATCGACAATAAGATAATCAAGTCTAGGACCGAGATAGAGATTCTAGAGCACGACATGTATGCGATAACTTGCCGTGGAGGCAAAATCAGTCGGACAATCAAGACATCGGAGGGATTCTCAACTCCTACGGCTGGGAATTTGTTAGAAGAAATCGGGTACCCATGTTTGGACTTCCTCACCTGTTGTCACCTGTGCAAGAACATGGTTGTCAAACCGGGGTCGAACCGGCCGGTCGAACCGGGTCTGGCCGGAACCGGGCACTAAAAGGGCCAGAACCAGCCATAATTAGAGCTGGCCGGTAGCCGGTCAAAACCGGGGGAAACCGGGGTCTGACCGGACTGATCCGGCTACCGGTTTGGAGGAAAATGGCGTCGTTTTTGGCTGGTTGGAACTTCTTCCAACTTCACTAACCCTAATACCGTCCGCCGTTCCCAAATCTCCTCCCTCGTCGAGCCCAGCCAACAGAGCAGAGAAATCCCTGCGGCAACAACCAGCACAGCAGCTCTCCTCGTCGCGCCACGCCGGCGCTCTCCTCGTCGCGCCACGCCGGCGTTCTCCTCGTCGCGCCACGCCGGCGCTCCACTCGCCACTCCTCGCCGGCGCTGCCCTCTTCTCGACCCAGTTCGCGCTTCCTCGCCGCCGGACTCCTCGACTAGCGCGTCAACCCAGGTCCCCGCTTCCTCGACGCCGCTCGCCGTCGGCCGCCTCGACCCAGTGCCCCCTTCCTCGACGCCGCTCACCGTCGGCCGCACGACCCAGGTTTCATTTCCTTTTTCAGCAGTTGATAGACCGTCATTTACACATGTTTTTACCCCCGTTCTTACACCGTTTGAGGTGTTGATTCTCGTGTTTTAGGCCGATTTCACGCTAGGTTGTGCTTGTTTGTGATATTTCAGGTCCTAGTACGTGAATGAAGGCTTAGGAGCGAGTCTGGGGTCGATTGGACGAAGATCGGACGAATGGCGAGGTTTTTGGGGAGCTGCACGGGCAGACCAGGGGATCTGCACGGCCGTGCATGTGAGCAAGATGGCCGTGCGCTTTATGCCGAGGCCACGCACGGGCAACCCCTGAAGATCGCATGGCTGTGCACCCTGGCCGTGCGAGAAGCCTGAGGATCGAACTAATTGATACGCCGCGTTTTGGAGCCGCACGACCAAGAGGGTGATCTACACGGCCGTGCACCCTGGCCGTGCGAGTCGGGAAATCCTGGTTTTAGAGCCCATTCCGAGCCTAAAGTGGGAGAATCGTGTTTTGAGAGCAAAAAACAGAGCCCTAGAGAGAGAAAGTACAAAGAACACATCCTAGAAGCTGTCTTAGAGCTGGGTTTCATCGAATCGAGCTTGGAGATCGTCATAGGAGTGGAAATCATCGTCCCGGAGCAGATTATCCTCATCGTTATGAGTAT